ATAAGGCTATTGTGTTATTATCTGATTGTTATTATGTAACTATTATTCAACTGCTGAACAAGTTTTAAGTATCAATCTTTTTTTACTACTTATCACATAGATAATTATGTTGGAAACATAATTTTTGAAATGGAAAATAAATTTAATAAATATTTTAGACCTATTCCTATTATTTTTGATTTGAGGGTTCTTATTAATCCATGCTTGAAAGATATTAACCTTCAAAATTTGTTAAATTCTTTGCATGAGAATATGATCATAGACACTGATGATAGCCAGACTATTACTGTGTTTACTCATCATAACACTATTAACTATTATTTTTAAAGATTATTTGATGAGTATGCAGGTAGATATGGTGAAAAGCTACAACTTCTACAAGTTCAAGACGAGACAAATGTAAGATTTTTGATAGGCAATAGATCATAGTGAGGCTAACTAGTAGTAGTCTTGGATCTAGATCTGGATCATCACTAAGGAAAAATTTTGAAATTGAACAATATGTAGTTGCACTTTTAGTTAATTCTCAAAATAATGTTGATTTCCATATTTTGCAATGGCAGACAATATATGAAACAGTTTCATATCCTATATTCCATCATGGCTCGTGACTTATTAACAGTGCATGTTTCTACAGTAGCTTCGGAATTCGCCTTCAGCATATTAGGATGTTCGATCAACAACCACAGAACATCACTAGATCTGTCTACTGTATATGTGGTAATGTGCCTACAAGATTATTGGAGGTCCGAGAAGAGAACTCAAAGCATTGACCGGATAGCTAATATTGAAGATAGACTTAATCAGTTAACGATATGAGATAGAAAGTAGAAAGTAGTTTGTAATTTTTATTTTTTAGCTATAAATTTATAATAAATTATTTTAGAAAGAGTTGTAAATAATAATGATATAGATGAGTAGGTGCTAACTTAGTTAGGATGTATTCATGTATTATGATGCGACAAATTTTTAAAAAATTATAATTGTTAGTGATTAATAATAAAGATTTTATTTTTTACCATTTTAATTTCTATGATATTTGTATTTATAAATTATATGATTATAAGTGATTAATACTATGATTGAATTTTTATCAAAATTTCACATATTTTAATTACTCTTGAAATTCCTTTTTTAACTAATTTTTAAGAATTTTTTTTTTAAAAAAGAAAAAATCTGGGCCGGCACAATGCCCGGCCTGTTCTGGCCTAAATATAGACTCAGGCCCAGCCCGGGTCCTGACCATTCATTTCACCGACTCGTTTAGACAAGCCTAATTGGTTTGACTCCTCATTTTCCATCATCAATCTAAAAACATCCTGGTATAATAAAAAAGGGTTATTTAGATATTAGTCCTTCAAATATTCAATAATCACATTGTTCCATCGGATCTCTGAAATTATAAATTAGTCCCCCACATTTAGGGGGTGTTTGTTTCAACTTTTTTTAGGATATAGGGTAGATTACAAATTTTAGGATGAAAAATAGGTTTTTTTGAGTTTATGGATTCCATAACCTTTGTTTGATTCAAAATAAAATTTGGGATATTGAATGCCTAAATAATAAAAAACTAATATATTATAATATTTGTGAAATCCCCTCTTTGAGAGAGGATTTAGGCTAGATCTCTCCCAACCCATGTCCAGTTCATCAAGCTTTACACTGATATCCTAAAATCAGTTTCTTAGGGTCACTGCTTTCGTCTCCCTCCTCTTTTACCTACCGTCTCATTTTTCACATGAAAACCCTAGGTCTCGTTCCCTCCTCTCCGCCTCTACAACGCCACCCCCTCCTTCCTCTCCGCCCTCAACCTCACCGGGCTCCGCCTCCTCCCTAGCGTCCCCAACTCCCAGCTCCACCTCCCTGCCTCTCCTCAACTCTCCCTAACGTTTTGGGTTAAATTGATTTGGGGTTTCTGTTGTTTCAACCGAACTTCTCTCCAACCGAACTTCTCTCTGACCGAACTACGTCTCCTCCTCGACAGGTAAATCTAGTTCCCTTTCTTTGTAAATTAGGTTTTCTTTGTAATTTTGGGGTTTGGTGAAAATGATTCGGGGGTTATATGTGAAATTAATTTGGGTTTGGTGAAATTGGTTCTGCACAATTATTAGTCTGTGAAATTGATTTGGAATTGGGGACGAAATTGTTCTCGTTCCATTGCTTGAAAATAACTGGGATATTCTTATTTGCGCACTTGTAAGATTAGTTTGAATTTCGTTTGAATTCTCGTTCCATTGATTAGTCTGTGAAATTGATTTTGAGTTCATGTTCATTATATGTGCACTTGTAAGATTAGTTTGAATTTTGTATACTATTTTAGGACTTTAATTTGCTTTTAGTTTCATTAGCTCATCCCTTCAGTTCTACAAAAAAAAATTATCTGCATCCGGGTACTTGAACATTGTTGATTACTTAACTCCTTGTATTTTTAGTGAAGTACTTAGTTGAAAAAGGATTCATTAAGTAACAATTAGATTCTTATCTTTGTATTATCATTCTAATATTTGTCTTAGTGAATACAAGACAATGTATCATATTTTTACAGGAAATTCCTTTTTTAAAACAATGTAGATGGACGACATTGATGAAGAGATATTAATGGGGATGGCTTCTAATGCTACTATCTCTGCGGTGATTTGTGTGTTTGCTTGTTTAATGAGGATACGTAGTAGAAAGAAATCAATCACTTATCACCCTAAGGTGGAAAAAAGAAGAAGATTATTCTAGAGATAAGCACATAAGGCGTGTGTTCAATGGCTATAATGAGAGTTGTAGGGCTTATGCTAGAATGAGGCCGCATGCATTTGAGCTTGTGAGTTTATGAGTTTGAGCTTGGTTGCTTGTCAGAGCCTTGGTTATTTGAGTTTGAGCTTGTTTTTGATGGCTTGTGAGCTTGTGGGTTTGTGGTAGCCTATTACTATTTTGGTTGTTTCAGTTTCAGTTTGTCACTGAGCTTGGTTGCTTGTTTTTGATGGATTTGCGGGTTTGTGACAAGTTTGACCTTGTGGGTTTGTGAGTTTGAGCTTGGTTGCTTGTCTGAGCCTTGGTTATTTGAGTTTGAGCTTGTTTTTGAGCTTTGTGGGTTTGCTGCTGGTCTGAGCTGCTTGCGGGTTCGTTACAAGCTATTAAAATGTTACAAAATTCATTTGAGGGTGTCTGTTCAAGTTTTTTTTTTTGAGCTAGTGATATTGGATTTGAAATTCTATGATGAAAAAGTGGGTTTTTTTTGAGTTTTTCGGATTTAGCTATGATGAGTGGTCACATATTGATAATGCCAACTACAATGGGATTTTATTGTTTATAGGAGGCGTTCATTAATGAAAATGCAGTCTAGATTGCTTTTGCAATTTTTAGATGAGGCGGTCCATTATTTGAATGCAATCTACAATGCAATTTCATTATATAGGTGTTGGAAAAAATAATTATTTTCTGAGCCTCTATATTATTATTTATTTTTATATTTTTTATTTACATTGTCTCAGGTTAGTTTATGACCGTTTATAGCCGTTGGAGTATAAATTTGAATAGTTAGGATTACCCCCAATTGAATACAATCGTATTTGTTTTTTGTGGGAGGTAAGCTCACCAAAGGTTCTTATATTCACCAATCATTATTTTGGTAATCCTAACTTTTATTTGCTACAACTATAGAGTTCAAATTCTAAAATTTGTAATGCTACAATTTGAGTTTGAAACAAACAAAATATTATGAATTATAGTATTACATATCCCAAAATATTGATGAAACAAACATCATTTTAGAAATCCCAACTATGTTAAAAAACCTATGGATTTCAAATCCCATGGTGAAATCCATATCCTAAAATTATAGGATTTGAAACAAACACCCCTAAAATTATAGGATTTGAAACAAACACCCCCTTAGGGTGTCTTGCGATTTGATCCCTTAATGACAAAAATACCCCTCAGTTAATGTTTTTTGAAGGGTTACTTGCAATTTGGTATTGTACAGTTTACACCTTTTTTTTTAACTTTGCTACCCCATGTTTTTTTTGAAGCATTGATATCCCAAATTTTACAATTTTTTTAACTTTGGTACCTCAAATTGTTTTTTAATGTTTTGACCCCAAACTTTAGACCTTTTTTAACTTTCATACTCCAAAGGTTTTTGGTAATCTGACGTTTAGCATCTTGGAATTGGGCCTTGTCAATTAACGGGCCATATTCATACCATATCACTTTATCTAGGCTTGATCTATTAAGGGTTAATGGGACGCTCATAGTTTTAAATGAGTCAATGTAATTAAGCCATAAGTTAACCTATGTTTCTCAAAAGATAAAGCAACCTGCGAAGTAACCAAATTTAGCCGTTGAACTATGTTTGGATTTTTATTTTAAGGTTTTTCTATAGAGTGTCATTGGGCACTCTATAAGAGAGGAGAGAGATAGAGAGAAATGAATGAAGAGATGATCCCAATGCAAATCAGGGGCCCCCTCCTCATTCATTTCTCTCTATCTCTCTCCTCTCTTGAGCATCTCCAACAGCTTCCCCAAAAATTTCTTCAAAATGAGGAAGCAAAAGTTATATTCTCCAAATTATTTTTGCTCCAACTCCAACAGCTTCCCCATTTTAAAGAATCCTGCATTTATTACAATAATAAAAACATTCACCATCTTTGACTAATAAATAATAAATTATTTTTTATTTGAAACTTTGAAATAATGGTTAGTTTCCAACGGCTAGATTTCATATTGATGATCCAAATCATTGATTTAATTAAGTCATCATAACGAGGTGTCTAGGCAAAAAAAATCTAGAACATATTCATGTGTATCTTATTGGGAAGTAAAGTATTTACGAATTCAAAATGAAGAAAGACAGAAAATCACAATATTTATTTACTTTTGCTAAGCTTGACTTCTGTTTTGTTCAAAATGAAGAAACGTCTAATTTACAACGGCTACTTTGACTTCTATTTTTTTATCTATATATATGAGAACAAATCTCGTCACTTTTGTTACTCATTCTCTCATTCTTTGCTTCCTCATCTTTTTCTCACTTTGAAAATATATTTTATGGCTCGTCGTTCGTTAGCTAGTCGTTATCTAGTTAATACGTTCATGGATGACGACGACAATATTGATGACGAATATGAAGAATTGTTACTTGCTCAAATAGAAGAAAAAGCGCGTGCCAACCAGAGTTCAAGAGGAGGTCATCGTGGTTCTATTATGGGTCACCGTATTGTTAATCGTGATCTAATTGAGGGTCATGAAAGACTTTGTCGTGACTACTTTGCTAATCCTCCAAAATATGGGGCTCATCTCTTTCGAAGGAGATTCAGAATGAAGCAAGCTCTTTTCATGCGCATTCATGATGCCATCGTCGCGCACGATACTTATTTTGTTCAAAAGAGGAATGCTGCTGGGCGTCTTGGCTTGTCATCACTTCAAAAGGTAACAGCTGCTTTTCGACAACTTGCATATGGTGTTCCAGCCGATTATGTTGATGAGTATGTGCAGATTGGGGAAAGCACCGCTATTGAAAGTCTCAAAAAGTTCGTCACAGCAATTGTCGAAGTGTTTGGTGATGAATACTTAAGGTCGCCAAATAGTGATGACCTTAAGAGATTACTTGCAATAGGTGAACAACGCGGCTTTCCTGGTGTTAAAGTAAGAGAGAGAGAGAGAATCTTGGGTAAATTTCCCTTGAATTGAATATTGAGTGTGCACATATATTTATACAAGTAGAGGAGTGTGAGGTTTGTTCTCCCAAGCAATGTGGGACTAAAACCCACTACAATACACTATTATCAACAGCCCCCTTCAAACTCATGTTGGATCAAACAAAGTGAGTTTGCGTACAAGAAACTGGAACCGATGAACAGGTAAGGCCTTTGTGAAGAAATCTGCAAGCTCGTCAGCGGATGAAACATGAGGAAGTAGAATTGTCTTGTCCTTGATAACTTGGTGACGGACAAAATGAGCGTCGATCTCAATATGTTTGGTCCTTTCATGAAATACTGGATTATTAGCAATCTGGATGGCACTCTTATTATCACAGTAGAGAGGAGTAGGAGTCGTAACAGAAATACCGAAATCACTGAGAAGGCAACGAAGATGAATAATCTCTTTAGCTGTTGTGGACATTGCACGATACTCTGCCTCAGTACTGGAAAGAGCAATAACATCTTGTTTCTTACTTCGCCAGGAAATAAGGGAATCACCAAGAAATATACAATAACCTGTGGTAGACTTTCTGGTAGTTGGATCACCAGCCCAATCAGCATCAGAATATGCACAAAGCTCTAACTTAGATGTAGCAGGAAACAAAAGTGAGCGAGTGCTAGTACCCCGGAGGTACCGAAGAATCCGTAATAAGACAGCATAGTGTACAGAACGTGGGGCACTAACAAATTGACTGACAATACCAACAGCATGAGAGATATCTGGTCGAGAGATGCACAAATAGACCAACTGACCAACAAGATGTCGATATCGGGTAGGATCAGATAGAGGCTCACCGTCAGTAGAGCAAAGTTTGACATTCTGCTGGAGTGGAGTATCGACAGTTGTATTATCAGTTAACTCAGCTTGATTTAGAATATCTGAGAGATACTTCTGTTGAGACAGTAATACACCCCGCGGGCCTTGAGAAATTTCTAGACCAAGGAAATACCGAAGAGATCCAAGATCCTTCATGTGGAACTGTTGTTGCAACTGAGATTTTGCGTATTGTATACCTGTCATATCATCACCTGTAATGATCATATCATCTACATAGATGAGTAATAAAACCCTGCCACGCGATGTAGTGCGAACAAACAGAGAAGCATCTTGATGACTTTCTATAAAGCCCGCTTTGAGCACAACATCGCGAAAACACTCAAACCAAGCGCGGGGTGCCTGTTTGAGACCATAAACAGCACGACGAAGGAGACATACATGTCCCGGAGGAATATTTGACCCTGGAGGCGGTTGCATATATACGGTCTCTGATAAAGAGCCATGAAGAAAAGCATTTTTGACATCCATCTGGTATAAGGGCCAACGATGAGCAGCAGCGACCGCAAGGAGAGTACGCACAGTGGGCATCTGAGCAACAGGAGCAAAGGTCTCCTCATAATCAATACCTTGTTGCTGAGTAAAACCTCTAGCCACTAAACGAGCTTTTCGACGTTCAATGGTGCCATCAGGACGAAACTTGACCTTATAAACCCATTTACTGCCAACAAGAGAGATCCCAGGAGGACAGGGAACAATATCCCAGGTATGAGTTTGCTGAAATGCTTGAAATTCCTCAGCCATAGCTTGTCGCCACTCTGGAATTTGAACTGCCTCTTGGAAGGACTTTGGCTCAACAATAGTATGAATGGCAGCAAGAAAGTTATGAAAGATAGGTGAATAAGAAGTAACAGAAGCATACCGGGCAGGCATGACATGTGGGCGTTTGCCTCGACGAAGAGCAAGAGGAACCTCAGGCGGGGGAGATGCTGGCGCAGGTGCATGAAGATCAACAGTATTTTCTGGAGTGAGAGTTGTGTCCACAGGATATGGATTAGATGGTGTAAGAGAAGACTCAGGTGAGGAAGAGTCAACAGAAGGAGAGGGAGAGATGTCAGGGAGATCTCGAAAGGAAAATTGAGGTGAAGAAGTGGGTGATGCAGTGGACGGGGAAGCATGATCGGTAGAGTGGAGGAAATTAAAGTCATCAGAAGTAGAATAATATGGAGAATCCTCTTCGAACTGAACATGACGAGATATATGAACTCGACGAGTTGCGGGATCATAACAACGATAACCTCGATGTTCTGAACTAATTCCTAAATAAACACAAGAAACTGCTCTGGGAGACAATTTATCACGTTCGTGAGATGGCAGAAAAACAAAACATCGACAACCAAAAACGCGAACTAGATCATAACGGGGAGGATGAGTATAAACACGACTATAAGGAGTAGCACCGGAAAGAGAGCTAGATGGAGTGATATTAATGGCATGAGTCGCGGTGAGAATAGCCTCAGCCCAGAAACGACGAGGAACAGAGTAAGAAATGAGCATTGATCGGGCAGTATCGAGGATATGACGATGTTTGCGTTCAGCAACACCATTTTGCTCATGAGTGTAGGGACATGACTGTTGAAAGATAGTCCCATGAGAGGACATGATAGAGCGCATGGCAGAGGATAGGTACTCTTTGGCACAATCAGAACGAAAAACTTTAATACGAGATTGCCATTGAGTGAAAATCATAGCAGTGAAGGCTTGATAAGCAGTAAGTACGTCAGAGCGATTCTTAAGTAGGTAAACCCATGTAAAACGAGAGAAATCGTCGATAAAACTAACATAATATAAGTAGCCAGATGAAGAAGGCAAAGGAGCTGGCCCCCAAATATCAGAATGTACTAAATCAAATAAGGAAGTGGATACAGATGTACTCATTTTAAATGGTAAAGCAGTGAATTTAGCCAATTTGCAACCAGCACATGACTCAATACTAGAACTAGATGATACAGGACCAAGTACTCCAGACTGAATAAGACTCTCCAGCCTTTTATTACACACATGACCAAGTCGTCTATGCCATAAATTGGCAGGAAGCGAGGTAGAGGGTTTTGACGAACAAAGAGAAGCAACAAGAGAACGTGGACGTATGGACTCTGGAAGGTGAAGATATTCCAGAAAATACAGTTTGTGCCTCCTACGACCCGCCCCAACCGTCTTGCCCGTCTGTGGATCCTGCACAATACAAGTATCAGAAGAAAATGAGACAAACAGGCCCGCCATGCATAAAGAGCTAATAGAAATTAAATTCAAGCACAATTGTGGAGCCACATAGACGGGACCAAGTGTTAGACGACCAGATGGATCATTTTGTGGGGTAATAGAGCCATACTGAGTAATGGACAATGGTTGTCCAGCAGCTGTGTAGATAGGAGGAAGAGAGGATGAAGTAAAGACAGAGGATAAAAGTGAGGCATTACAAGTCATATGAAAGGAACAACCAGAGTCAAAAATCCAGAGATCATTCATACCAGATGTGCACATATATTTATACAAGTAGAGGAGTGTGAGGTTTGTTCTCCCAAGCAATGTGGGACTAAAACCCACTACAATACACTATTATCAACACCTGGGATGCTTGGAAGCATTGATTGTATGCATTGGACATGGAAGAATTGTCCTACTGCTTGGCATGGCATGTTTACTGGCCACATTCATGAACCCACTATTATTTTAGAAGCTGTAGCTTCATATGATTTATGGATATGGCATGCTTTTTTTGGATTACCTGGGTCTCTTAATGACATCAATGTGTTAGAGCGGTCTTATGTATTTAGTGGATTGGATGAAGGTAGTGCCCCTCATATTAGCTATAAAGTCAATGGGAGGCCATATGACATGGGATATTATCTTGCTGATGGTATATATCCATCATGGGCAACATTAGTGAAGACTATTCCAGCTCCACAAGGAAATAAGCATCGACATTTTGCTAAAGAGCAAGAAGGGGCAAGGAAAGATGTTGAGCGCGCATTCGGAGTGCTTCAATCACGTTTTGCGATTGTCCGAAACCCGGCAAGACTTTGGGATAAGGATAACCTAAAACATATTATGATGGCATGCATAATTATGCATAATATGATTGTCGAAGACGAGCGTGATGAACATGAGCGTATTAGTAGACTAAGGAAAATACATGGTATCGAAAAAGAATATGATCATGTTGATGAAATTCCACGCATATCACTTTCGCTCGAGCGTACACCAACAATAATGGAGTTCATCGCAAATCGTCATCGAGTTAGAGATAAACAAATGCATACTCAACTCCAAGAAGATCTTGTCGAGCACTTATGGAAAAAACATGGAGCCAATTAGTGATTTGCTTTCTTATATAAATCAATATTATGTTGTTTCAACTTCATTGTAATGTCGTTAAATTTATGAAGAATAAAATTTATATATCATAAGGCTTATCATACCAATTTCATTGAGTAGTAGTATACTTGGTCAAGATAAAGTTACTAACTCTACTGTCAACAATCAATTTCAAGATAAAGTTATTAACTTATGTGAATATAGCCGTGAAAGTGTTGGATCCACTGTCAACAATGACAAGTTGAATGAATCATTTAAAAAATAACATGATTATATTACCTCAAACGTCTCAAAAGCTTCATATTCAATATTAACAAAGGTCTCACTTCCAGAAACATATCACTTTGTAGACTGGGAGCAATTGTAGGAAAAAAAATTGAAAAATGAGTAACAATGGTCAGCAAGCATATAGATTTAGACATGAAATTTAACAATAACATTGTTCAAGGTCCAAACTTGAGAAACAAGATACATTTTTCCAGCTGAACTAATCTCACACAAAAATTATACCATCTAAATATTCAGCAGCTGAAAAGCTAGAAAGAAAGAATCCAAAACACATAACACAAGTCTCTGAATAGCATAAATATCCAGGAGTAATGACACAAGAGACTACTCATTTCCATTCTTACCAGCTCTTTTTGCCAAAATTTCTCTCTGAAGGCTGATGAAATACTCTGCTTGAATAGGATTCATGGAACTAGTATCCATAGACATTATTTTAGTTTCCTCACTTCGAGCTTGAAGTTCAATTTCCTTTTCTCTAAGAGCAACCTGCTTTTGCTCAATATCAATTAGCAACTTAAGTTGTTCTGCCTTTACGCGGTCACTTTCTAGTCTCCTTGCCCTAAACTCTTCCAACTCAGAACGGACTTTTGAAGATTCCTTCTCATCATCATCACCTTGCTCGTTGGATTTTGCTTTTTTGTTCGCTTCTTTTGCAGCCTTTCTTCCAATAGGCCTCTTCAAGGGTGCAGGTTCAGGAGCATTTCCATTATCATCTTCCAAGTTAATTGTAATTTGATTTTTAGCATGAGGAGGCTTGAAGATTCTAGTTGCTTCAATTTTTTTATGTTCAACCATCCATTTTTGCTGAAACCTCAGAAGAGTCCAACAATGGTCAAATCCAAACTGATGACCTTCCTTATCTTTGTAGACCGTTTTTGCCTCTTGTATCTGCAAAGAATAGCTCATGTAAATATCTAACAGAAAAATAACATTTGAGAATGCAACATCAGTACTAACATTTGAAAATATAAATAAGCAGTAGGATGCTTTGAAGATAATGAAGATAATAATAGTGTGCACCTTATCTGCCTCTGTGTATCCACTTTTCCGCAAGTGTTCAATTGCAGCATAATGTCCACAAAACCTACTCACACTGAAGCTTATTTTTGACCAGCGGTTCGTCAGTGATTTTTCAGTGCGTTCATCCGGCCAACTCTTATGTTCTTCAAAGTAATGAGTAATTCTTTTCCAGAATTGGTTCTTCTTTTGATCAGATCCTTTGATTGGATCTAAGCTTGTATTCAGCCATGCGGCTATAAGAAGTTTGTCTTCCTCAGGAGAAAAGTTGATAGTTCTTTGAGATTGTTTTTGTGATTTCTTGCTGCTAGGTGCACATGGCGTCTCTTGATCAGTGTGAGCTTCAGTAGTATATGTCTCTTCAAAAGTAGAACCACTGGAATGGTACTGACTCAATGAAAAATCATATGTCAGATGTGGTTCATTGAGATCATCAAGAGACTGTTCATTGTTGAGGATCTCGGTGAAATTCATCTGCAAAATCTCAGAATTGCTTAATCACCAGATATAGAACTACTAAATTGCATGTACATAGAACTATTTTGATCTTGTGTGGTATATATCATACTCAATAACAACTAGAATATTTTAGCTGGAAAAACCTATATAGGAAGTTCCACTTGAAATATGTAGCAGGTGCTAGAATCCTTGAACTGAACATTTCAACTCTATATGAAGATGAAAGTCGAGTAAAATGTGAGCGAGATAACATTTTCAATGAATATGACATCTTCACTAGTGGATCAGATATATATAACAAAATAACATAAGAAAACTAATAGGGGCTTCACGATTGCTAATGCAACAATGTAAAAGCTCAAGACTTTGTGTTCTACTTTTATTGTGATATATAAAAAAGCATCCTTGGGAAGATAAAGCAAACATACATCACATAGATGCATATTTACTGCTAGAAGAAACTTACAAAATTCACAGGTATCTTCTTCAAGGAAGTGGCCTAGACACAATATAATGGGCAAAATATTTTAAAAAACACTTTTCAAATGAGGAAGAACAATTTTGTCAGGTAAATAAACATGTTGATATGAGGGAGGTCACTTAGATGATTATAATCAATCCATTCATATAATACTCTCTGTTCTATCCACAAATACAATATATAAAGGTGATTCAAATGGACTAGTTCTATATGATATCAACAAGAAACTGGACACTGATAGTAATACTCACGAGCAATGATACAAATGAGAAGGAGGCATACAGTAAATTGCAGTTTATCGTTAATTTGAAAGTCTCAGCAAATATCACAAAATATAGAGTGGAAAGGGAACAAATAACAGATGTACATACAGGAGTTGATACAACAACAATATCAAAGCCTTTATCTTAAATTTGTGGAATGGGACATACGCGTGCACAAGTATATTAATATAGAGGATGTAATATGGTTGTAAATGTTAGAATTAAGGGTCAGTTTGACAACTCAAAATTTTCACTTGTAGATGATGCCAAGTAGATGAATGGTTGCAAAAACCTATATAGGAAAATCAAGTCATGCTCTAGTACGGTGAGTGAGTGAAAATAAGGGTGTAGCATATAACTTGTTAAAGAAAAATTGGGCATTCATTGCACATGAAGTTTTTGATCCATTAAAATACATGAGTGGTTGGACCTAAATTGTGCTAGGATTTTTATTCTCAAAACTCAATAAGTTTACCAAAACAGTAATGAGAAAAAAGGTTTATACATTGATTTGAACTAGGCAGGGAAAATAAAATGAGGATAGCCAAAGAACTACAAGAAATAACATCAATTACTTGTAAACTTCACCATGGAAAATGTTAGAGAATGCTATCTATTCAACAATCTACTAACAAACATAATATATTCTAACTACTCCATCCAATCTCTTTATTTAACAGAATGTGAAAATCTATTGCCTCCATTTTATTTAACAGAATGTGACTAGAAATAATTACTCAAGCAAAGAAGAAACTATTTGAAAATAGGCTTGGCTAATTCTCTCAGATATTATTGATAACAAGATCCAACTATTTGTCATTGTGTCAACCTATTAACCTGATGCATATTAAAGTTCATGTCAGTGTTGTAAAACACGCTCTGGGCGGCCGCCTAGGCGGAGGCGGTGCCCAGAGCGTGTCGCCTAGCCCTGAGCGGCCACGTCTAGGCGCTGGGAGCGCCTAGGCGGCCGCCCAGGGATAAGCGGGCCGCTTAAGCGGCCCGCCCCACTTTTCCAATCTCAGATTTTGAGCAAACTGGTTTAAACTAAAGATAGTAACCAAAGCAAAGAAAACAAATCCCTATGCTTCTACTTCAACTTTCTTTTTAAGAGTGTAACCAGTGAAATTTCAACAAGATGTATGTACACATGTTTCTCAATAATAAAGTCTAGTTTAGATAATAACCCCAAAAAAACAATAGATCAATTCATATCTAAAAAAGGGAGTTGTTTTATTTTGTGGGTCCTGTTTGATCAATCTCCTATCAAAAAGGGAGGTTTTATTTTGATCTCTTTGAACTTTGAAAAATAAGTGAAGGCATCATGTTTATTTATCAAATTAAAGAGTTCTGAGCAGCTGGAAGAGATTTCCTCACTTCAAAAATCACGTATTTTATTCGGGTTCTTTTCCGAACATCTTGGAAGAAAAAGAATCGCAAAAGAAAGACAAGAAAATCCCAAAAATTGAAAGAATACAGGATGAAAAAATCCCAAAATTGATAGAAGGCAAGATCAAAAAGCCCTAGTTAAGAGTGTACCTCAAAATCCAGTGATCAAGAGGAACTTGGCTCGATCAGAGAGAGGAGGAGGAACTATGGCTCGATGGAGAGAGGAGAACTCGAGAGCTCGAGAGGAGAGAGAGGAACTATGGTTCGAGGATCGCCACCGCTCACCGCCGCTCGAGAGGAGAGAGGGAAATCTAGGGCTTTGTTTGAGAGACGAAGGGGGTTCTGCCTCAACTACGAGTCGATCGATCGCTGGAGAGAGAGAAGTGACAAATATCTACAATGGCTCTCTCTTTGTCCCTATTTTTTTATTCGTTGGAGACTTGAAGAATGTGAAATATTTATGACAAAGCTTTCCCCAAATTTTTGCGAGAATTCTAATAAAATGGGGAAGCTGTTGGAGATGCTCTTATAGAGTGCCCAAGAGCACTCTATAGAAAAACCGTTTATTTTATAATCCAAGATTAGATTGTGTTGGAATAAAGCAAAATTCAAAGCTTAAACTATGTTAGGATGATCACTAAACTTAAAACATCGAGTTAATATCATACGTTTAAATAATAAACGGTCCGGATCGATTCAAGATCAAACCGCATCCGATAAACAACTCTGCATCATCATATTCGTTCGCCCGACTCGCCCCACAAATGCCCAGGATCACGTTAGTCTAAAATAAACCCAGCGGCACAATAGAATGACTCGAGTAAAGGCAGTCGCATATCTGAATACATCCCCTATCCTCAGATTCCTATAAATACAGCTGCGACCAGTGGAGAGAGAAAGAGAGAGAGAGCTAGGGTTTTTGGGAGTCTCTGCTTGCGGCTCTCTCTTCATTTTTAGGTGAAATCTCGGGCTTCGCTCGCAATTTTCTCTATTTTCACTGTCTTTAATTTGAATAATTCCTGCAGTTAATTAGAGATAATCTATAGCTACTTGATTCTATTTGCTAGATCTATTAGTTGCTGGTGCTAAGTTTGATTTTGCTGAGTTCTAGGTTTGCAATCGTGAACAAAATCTTAGATCTCTTCTGAATTTCGTGATTAAAGATGGTAGATTTTTCTCAAGGATCCGATTACATCTTAAAGCAGAAAATTTATGAATCTAATCAGACCTATTCGTCTAAATCGTTGACAAATGACGATCGTCGTTGATCTTAGCTATGTTGATGTCTGTAGTTATTTGTAGAGATTGTAAGAATATTTTTTTAGTGTTAGCTATTGGAAACTATTGAGGTTTAAAATTCTCTTAAGTTCTTTGTACCTAATCTGTGATTAGTCTCCGACTGTTCAAGCGATCGTATATGATTGATGAATCATTACAAAGTTGTATATAGTAGTTATTTGATATTTTGGTAATTCCAAGATTCATGTTTTGTTAGTTTACATGTTTCTGCAATAATCAGTTTAATGTATTATGTTTTTGTGCTTGTGCCAAATCTGCGAAGCTAACACGAAATCGATTCTTCATTAAGCCCTTGTATTAGAATGAAAATTTTCTGTGACAATTCATCATGAGCATGAACTGTATAGCATAATAAATTAGCTGCACTGTTTAGTGCTTTTAATAAACTTTAATTAATTTCATAGCATGTATTTATTATTTAAATTCGTTGGGAAATGTTTGGATAAGTAGTAGAGATAAGCTTGAGATTTAAGTTAGTGGACGGCCTGAAGAATGTCAAGGTTTAACAACTGAAGATCAAGATGATGAATCTGGTTCTGAAGTGGCACTTACTACTTCTGTTCTCGGCTATGTCTTTAAGCTATTACAGTTAATGCTGGCTACCATCTGTGTTCTTTGATGTTGGAGTTGTTTAATTTCATTTGAATTTATTGTTGACACTTGACAGCTAATTGAACCCTGATAGTCATGTATTTTAATTAGCTTTAGCTGTTTGTGAATTATACTTTCAGGATGAAATATTTTTCATTCTTAGGTTGCTTTTGCTATATGTCTCCTCTTATTTTGAGGTGGAAGGTGAATCTTTGTGGTTAAAGTTGTCCTTCCTTTCAGTATTGCATCTCATATTTGGCCTTAATTGATGGTTACTGGGATGACAACTTTATTACTGTTTGTTGACTTGTTTTTTGGGCTTATAATGTAGCACTGTGTTCATTCTTTAATCGTATTTTTCACTGAGAAGTTAAAACAGTGACCTTGGTGCTTGACAATGACACTACGAAACTGATATATGTAACGAAGGAACCAGTTAGTTCTTGTTATGCAAAATTTATGTTTGATATTTTTTTTAGTATGAAATGCATTCAGATGTTTAGTCCTTGTTTGTTTTTAGTAGAAAAAAAATAAAGTTATCCTTGTAGACAAAACAAGCATTCTAGTCTTTTTTTTTTGTCTTGTTGGTCTTCTACCATGAGTTTTAGTAATAACCTTGGGAGGGACTTGTTTTATGCACGTCAGGAAGGGACTTTAATTGACATAAGCATATATCTGTCTCTGATATTTTTTTTTATAAAAAGGACAGTAGCCTGGTATTTCAACCTTTGAGCTCCATATTCCAACTCCGTTTTATCACTTATCCGGGCCTGAGCGCCTCGTTTATCATTTTTTCCATACTTATTGACAATGTTTGGAATTATTTTTTTCTTTTGGCGTTTCATAGTTTTGTAGGAATATTTCTATGAAGATTTTAAGGAGTTACTTCTTGAGGAGTTTGATAAGTAATTTTTGTTGCTGAATTATACTAACTGCACTCCTTTTAATCTCATGCTTGTGGCTGTGTTTGGAATTATTAATTTTTAATTTCATAGCTTTACATCAATCTTTGTATGAAAAGCTTTTAAGAAGTTACTTGTTGAGTAGTTAGAAAATTAATTATACTGCCAAATTTTATCTCCCCTTACTATTTTTATGTTGGTGACCTTTTCATGACTTAATATTGTTTCTGAAATTTACAGTATACATTTGCTAGGTGTTCCAGCTGTCTTTATAAGCCGTCAAGATGGTGAAGTTTACAGTTGAAGAGCTCCGTCGGATTATGGACCTGAAACACAATATTCGTAATATGTCTGTCATTGCTCATGTAGATCACGGTAAGCTATTAAACTGTTTTGTTTAATCTGTTTCTTATGGACAAAAATGTCACATTAAGCCTTATGACTGCTTCTCTCCCTCATCAATATATATATGATATCTTCTCAGTATTTTCACTGTAATACATTCTCTTTTGAAATATGAGTTGGTGAAATACATGCCTCTTAGAAGCACTGCAGCTTTAGTCTTTTTTTTTTTAAATTATTTAAAATGGCTACAAGAAGAATAATGCGCTGAAATGATATTTTCTGATCCATATCTTGTATGCTCTACGATGCATTTTAACTAATGCTGGGTCCATATCTTGTATGCTCTATGATGCATTTTAACTAATGCTGGGTCGTATTCACATGTGCAAGAAAATATATATGTTTTCACTATTGTCAATCATATTCCACTTCTCTTTGCTATAATTCGAATTTAGTTTAACGTTGATCTTGTTTTTGTATCATTTATGGTAAAAAAAGGGTAAAATGCTGATTTGTTGTGTAAGCAACAGTTGTTTAGACGTCTCAATCTTCAGCAATGATATGTTCGGACGTAATTGTATTTGTCGGTTATGAATATAGTTATGACTTTTTACCACAAGACAATATATTCATTAATTATCTTGTATTTTCTGTTGTGGTCTTGGATAACTTTGAAAAATAGAATCACAAATAATTTCTGTTTTCTTTTTTACCATGAGAGGTTCTTATCTTGCTGTATAATTTTCCGGCATATAAAAATGGATGCTCTTGTTTTATTCTGCGGAGGCATTGTATATGTCACACATCATAATTACATAAATTAAGTGAATCTTATGTTTTTATTGCTCATAATTACATAAATGTGTTTTAAAACAATATCAATACATCATGAAAATTGAATCAGTTATTTAATTTAACAGTTTCATGCAAACATCTGTTATCTTTTGCTTTATTTTATTATGTACAAAAGTTTAAAATATCTTATATGATCAAAAAGTAATGTCCACTCAATGAATCTGTTTCTTTGTTTTATTTAATATTAAGGAGCTTTTTTCTTTCAGATACACTGTTCCACTATCATTGTTTTCTATCAAATCGATTCCAAAATTAAACATGTTCTAACGATGTAGCATATGGTTCTTGTATCATTGCCATCCTTACATTCTGTTTATTCATTCCGCTCCCCAATGTGTTTAAGATTAGTTTTTCTAACATTAGTTTTTTTCATTAATGTTGCAGGGAAATCTACACTTACCGATTCTCTTGTGGCCGCTGCTGGAATCATTGCACAGGAAGTTGCTGGAGATGTTAGGATGACTGATACTCGTGCTGACGAGGCTGAGCGTGGTATAACCATTAAGTCAACTGGGATTTCACTTTACTATGAGATGACTGACGCATCTCTGAAAGCCTACAAGGGTGAGAGATCAGGAAACGAGTATCTTATCAATCTCATTGATTCACCTGGGCACGTTGATTTCTCATCTGAGGTCACTGCGGCTTTGCGTATTACTGATGGTGCTTTAGTTGTCGTCGATTGCATCGAGGGTGTTTGTGTTCAGACTGAAACTGTCCTTCGACAGGCCTTGGGAGAAAGAATCAGGCCTGTCTTGACTGTTAACAAGATGGACCGATGCTTCTTGGAGCTTCAAGTTGATGGTGAAGAAGCCTACCAGACCTTCCAGCGTGTTATTGAGAACGCAAATGTTATCATGGCTACTTACGAAGATGCCCTTCTCGGTGATGTCCAAGTATACCCGGAGAAAGGTACTGTTGCTTTCTCAGCAGGATTGCACGGTTGGGCTTTCACCTTGACCAACTTTGCTAAAATGTATGCTTCCAAATTTGGAGTTGATGAATCTAAAATGATGGAGAGGCTTTGGGGTGAAAATTACTTTGACCCAGCTACCAAGAAATGGACCAGCAAGAACACCGGCAGTGCTACCTGCAAACGTGGTTTTGTTCAGTTCTGTTATGAACCTATTAAGCAGATTATCAACACTTGCATGAATGACCAGAAGGACAAACTCTGGCCAATGTTGACTAAGCTCGGTGTGACCATGAAGTCAGATGAGAAGGATCTGATGGGTAAAGCTCTGATGAAGAGGGTGATGCAGACCTGGCTACCAGCGAGCAGCGCTCTACTTGAGATGATGATATTTCACCTCCCATCTCCTGCCACAGCACAGAAATATCGTGTGGAGAATTTGTATGAAGGTCCTCTGGATGACGTTTATGCAAATGCTATCAGAAACTGTGACCCAGAAGGCCCTCTCATGCTTTATGTTTCTAAGATGATTCCGGCATCTGACAAAGGTCGATTCTTTGCATTTGGACGAGTCTTTGCAGGAAAGGTGTCTACTGGCTTGAAGGTTCGTATCATGGGACCCAACTTTGTCCCTGGTCAGAAGAAAGACTTGTACGTGAAGAGTGTCCAGAGAACTGTTATATGGATGGGTAAGAAGCAGGAGTCTGTGGAGGATGTTCCATGTGGTAACACTGTCGCTATGGTTGGATTGGACCAGTTTATCACTAAGAATGCTACTCTAACAAATGAGAAAGAAGTGGATGCCCACCCAATCAGAGCCATGAAGTTTTCTGTTTCTCCAGTCGTGCGTGTCGCAGTACAGTGCAAGGTGGCATCTGACCTTCCCAAGCTTGTGGAAGGTTTGAAAAGGTTGGCCAAATCAGACCCTATGGTTGTGTGCACAATCGAGGAGTCTGGTGAGCACATTATTGCCGGTGCTGGTGAGCTCCATCTCGAGATTTGCTTGAAAGATTTGCAGGAGGATTTCATGGGAGGTGCAGAAATTCATGTGTCAGACCCTGTCGTTTCCTTCCGTGAAACCGTTCTTGAAAAGTCATGTCGTACTGTGATGAGCAAGTCGCCAAACAAACATAACCGTCTTTACATGGAAGCTCGTCCTCTTGAAGAAGGCCTCCCTGAGGCCATTGACGAAGGACGCATAGGTCCACGTGATGATCCAAAGGTCCGTTCAAAGATTCTCGCTGAAGAGTTTGGATGGGACAAGGATCTTGCCAAGAAAATCTGGTGCTTTGGTCCTGAGACCACAGGTCCTAACATGGTCGTCGACATGTGTAAGGGAGTTCAGTACCTTAATGAAATCAAGGATTCAGTGGTTGCTGGTTTCCAGTGGGCCTCAAAAGAAGGTGCTTTGGCTGAAGAGAACATGCGTGGTATTTGCTTTGAAGTTTGTGATGTCGTTCTTCATGCTGATGCTATTCACAGAGGAGGTGGCCAGGTCATCCCAACAGCAAGAAGGGTTATCTATGCTTCTCAATTGACAGCCAAGCCCAGGCTTCTCGAGCCAGTTTACCTTGTTGAGATTCAGGCTCCTGAGCAGGCTTTGGGAGGTATCTACGGTGTTCTTAACCAAAAGCGTGGTCATGTCTTTGAGGAAATGCAGAGGCCCGGTACTCCTCTTTACAACATCAAGGCTTATCTCCCGGTTATCGAGTCCTTCGGGTTCTCGGGAACGCTGAGGGCTGCTACATCAGGACAGGCTTTCCCTCAGTGTGTGTTTGATCACTGGGACATGATGAGCTCTGACCCTATGGATTCTACTTCTCAAGCTGGGCAGCTTGTGGCTAGCATTCGTAAGAGGAAGGGTTTGAAGGAGCAGATGACTCCTCTCTCCGACTACGAAGACAAGCTCTAAGGTGAGTGCTATTGCAGTACACATTGATATTCTGGTTATGAAGCTGTTACATCGTGAGCGATATTAGTGAGAATTGAGGGGGCTTTGTGACTAGTGTTATTACACGCGTTAGTCAGTTTTCGAGTCTTCTGATTTGCAGAATGTTTCTCTGCATTTAGTTTCCTGTTGGTGTCTGTAGTCTTCAGACGTTTGTTGTCTTGTTTCGATGTGCTGAAAACTCTTAATTGTTATTATGCTTGTTAGATGCTACTATATAAATCTTGACCGTCGTGTAACTTACAAGTTTTTCTTCTTGTCTAATTTTTGGTGGGTTCAAAGTTCTACTGGTTGGTTGATTAATTGCAGTTAATGTTTCGGCTTTGATCTGTTGTGATTGAGGAATAGTCCTTATTTAGTTTTGCTGAGCTTGAGATTTGATCTTGCTTTCATGCTTTTAGTGGTTGTGCGTTCAAGTAAGTTCGGTGTCTGATTTTGAGTCTGCCTGAGATATATTTGCTTATTGTTTTATTAACTAGTTTGGTCATTATAGCTCGACGGTTGAAGAGATGCTTAATTAGCATTGTTATGATACTGAAAGTTTATTGATAATAGAACTTGTACAATATGATACCCTCTTAAACCTTACGGTTTCTGTAAATGCTTTATCAAGTAACTCTTTCAAAATGGTGATTATATGTTGCAAAATCATATCTACTTGCGCGCAAGAGACCAGACTAAAAGCTCTTTCGTACTGGATGACTTCAATGATCAGATCAGGCTAATCGTTTTGGGGATTTTACCTGATGTTAATGCATTCTTTCAAGAAAACTTTTATAAGTATGATTTTCCAGCATTCGGTCATTCAATCTTCTGTGATTCTCATAGAGTTGTTGTGGTGATGATTCCATCATATTACTAGCCACCTATTTACCGTAACTTTTGTATATTGTTGGTGATACAACAAAGAGATGCACGAGATAGTCTCTGTAGAAAACGGCGTCGAATTGTTCAAAGTGTTGAAAAACGCGAAAATTCAACAGCCTGGGTGTGGTACGTGCCACACCCATGCGTGGCAGAATCTGCGCTGCTGTCAGGGGTGTGGTGCGTGCCACACCCAGGTGCGATAGAATCTTCCCTGTTGTCAGGGGTGTGGTGCGTGTCACAACTCAGTTGTGACAGACTCGTTTTCAGATTCTCATCCTATTTTGGATTGGATTTCTTATAAATAGAAACACACGTTTCTAGGGTTAAGAGAGAGAGGGTTTGAACAGAGAATTTGGGTTCTTTTGAGCACTTTGAGAGGGAGATTATTGTGAGGGAGTGTGAGATCATTGGTTAGCTTATTTTGAGGTTGTTTGAGAGATTGTAACTCGTTGTTTCTCATCCATATAGTGAAATCTCCCCATCCTCTTCTTGTGGACGTAGGCAATTGCCGAACCATGTAAATTTCTGTGTTTGTGTGTGATTTTGGACGTTATTTTGTGAATTGCACTCATGTTTTGTATGGTTCTTCTCTCATTGCTCGCCGACTCGTTTGAGTTTATTACGAGCACTCTTCCACACGGCGCGCGACAAGTGGTATCTGAGCTCAGATTTTCAGATCTACGATTTTGTATTGGGTGGAGGAAGATTCGTTGTTGGAAGCTTGGTTCTTACAGATCTAGGCTTCAGTGGAGATAGCGTTGCGGAGTTGTCGTTGAAAATCCCGCTTTCCTCGTGTGGTTAGGAGATCGAGTTGGAATTCTCTAGGGTTCAGTTGGATAATTTCTCAATTCTATTAAATTTTGAATCTTTCTTTACAATTAGAGTTAGTTTGCAATGGGAGAAGAAGTTGGTGAAAGCAGCAAGGCGATGACGAGTACAGTTCAAGTTATACTTCAGAATACAAAGATTAGTGTTGTGAAGTATGATGACAAAATTAACTTTGGTTTGTGGATGAGTGATGTGCAAGATGCACTGAATACTCAAAATTTGGAAGAGACCATCATGGTCCACGAGAGGCTACCGAAGTATGATGAGGCGATATAAGACAAGATGAATCGAAACACTTGTGGGGTAATTAGATCTTGTTTAGAAAAAGAGTTGAAATACGATGTGATTGGCGTGACGTCTGCGATGAAGATGTGAGAGATTCTCAACAATAAATATCTTACGAAAAGTGTTGAGAACTGTTTGTACTTGCTGCGAAGATTGTTCAAATTCCATATGTACAGGGGTACCTCACTTGCGGATCATATGAACAACTACACAAAGTTGTTGTCCGACTTGGCAAACGTTGATGAGAAGATAATGGATGAGTACAAGATGATTTTTTTTATTAGGATCCTTACCCGATGAGAAGTATGATACATTTGTGCTCACTTTGTTAAACGGTAGATCTTCCATCACCTATAGTGAAGTAACTAATGTGTTGACGAATTACGATCTGAGAAGGAAGGACAAAAAGACTTCCAGAGTTAGCATTTCATGAGAGGCCTTGTCGACGGGAGGAATGAGTCCATATCTGAGAGGTGATAATTGAAGTAGGTCAAAGTCTAAAGGCCACTACTAATTAGCAAAGAACCAGTGTGCTTTCTGTAAAGAACAAGGATATTGGAAGAAAGATTGCCCGAAGCTTAGAGAGAAGGAGAATAGCAAGAAGAATGGCCCGAATGCTAATAAGGTGAATATCGCTAGAGGTAATGATTCAGATGATTCCTACTTTTCTCTATTGATTACTCCAGAGTTGAACCATGTGGATGCATCGGATTAGATGCTGGATTCCGACGTTACTTATCATGTGACTCACCGGCGAGATTGGTTTGCATCATTCAAGAAACTCGATGGGGGGGGGGGGATGGGGGGGGGGGGGTATGGTGGTCATGAGAAATGATCAATCATATAGCATTTGTAGGATAGGTACCGTCAGGATTCAGATGCGTGATGAAGTTGTTCTTGAGTTGAATGAAGTGAGATTTGTTCCTTAGCTGAAAAAGAATCTTATTTTCATTGGAGCTTTGAAGGCAAATAGATTCAATGTGACTTTTGAGAATGCTGTAGCAAAAGTTACTAAAGGATCTTTGGTAGTGATGAAGGAAGTCCGCAGTAGGAATCTTTATTATCTAAAGGGGAGCACCGAGATTGGTCAATTAGCTTTAGCTGTTTCAGAGGCGAACGTGAACAAACTTTGGCACTACTGATTGGACCACACAGGTGAAAAGTCACTGTAGGCGCTATGCAAGCAGGGGCTATTGAAGGAAGTCAAGAGTGGAAAGATTGAATTATGTGAGCACTGTGTTCTTGGAAAGAAGACAAATATGAAGTTTGGAACATCCGTACATAGGACAACGGGCATTTTGGACTATGTGCACATGGATGTTTAGGGTCTCACCAAGACGACATCACTTGGTGGTCGACATTGGTTCGTTACGTTTGTGGATGACTATTCTAGGCATTGTTGGATGTACACCATAACACATAAGAATAAAGTCTTAGAGTTATTTGTGGAGTAGAAGAGGAGATTAGAATTGCAGACTGTGAGAAAGATCAAGATGTTGAGATTTGACAACGGCAACAAGTATACTTCAGTCCCTTTTCAGCAGCTATGCGAGACGAGGGCATAGAGAAACACTTCACAGTTAGTCATATGCCGCAACAAAATGGGGGTGACAGATGTTAGACCCTAGAGGGGGGGTGATTAGGGTCTTATGCTAATCTAATCCGATTAAATGCCAATTAAAATTAATTAATACGTTATCCTAGCAAGTATAAAATACAACAAGATATGTGAGCTAGGATAAACAATATGAACAAGGGATATATCCTAGCAATGAGATATACTATGAGTTATATGCAAGGATATGAAACTAAGGGTGATATAAACATAAATAAGATAAACAAGATAGTGGATAATATGAACAAGGGATATATCCTAGCAATGAGATATACTATGAGTTATATGCAAGGATATGAAACTAATGGTGATATAAACATAAATAAGATAAACAAGATAGTAGATAATATGAACTAAGAGTAAATGACAATGGCGATATAAGATATGAGCATGAATATAAATGAACGCCAAAGCACACTCAAACACACTATATGATCACGGAGTTCGGACCTTCCGTCCTACGTCTCCGCTCCCCACTCCCGGGGAGAAATCCACTAACACAATCCGGTTTGGAAGCCGGAACTTCTTCTACACACTCGGTTTTCTAGCTAACCGAAAACTCTACAACTCACACTCTTGCAATCACACTCTACACCCACTAAGTGTTGGACCTAGCCGTGTCTCCCTCAAGTGCTCGGTTACAACCTCTCCCTAGGCACGTCAACCGACGCCACTCCTCTTGGGACGATCCCCGACTCTCACCACACACTCCTCACTCGGTGTACAAGAGTATTACAAAGTGATTTAACAATTAAGCACAATATAGCAAATGATTGTTCTCTCTAACAAGGTGAGAACTCAATTAGGCTCAACTCAATGTCACACTATCCCACAACCCAATTATATAATGTATGCAAATACAATAAGCTCAATGGTTGTGTGTGCAAACAAAGAGTAAATCAAATCAAACTAAACTCAATATAAAACTAGCTTTAATAGAAATGATAATCAACAAATAATTATAAATAAAAGCTAGACTTGAGTTTAGGAAAACTTCTCTAGATCAAGATGGAGAGATGGAGATATGAAGCCCAAACAAGAAGATGATCTCCTCCACTTGTGAAAATAATCTTCAAACCAAACAAACACTAAAACTCACTTAAACCCTTGTTTAAAACTCTTTAAACTTGTTTAAAACATTTCTTGAGTTACCTTAGAGGTATGAGGGCATGGGGTATATATAGGCTCATGAAACAACCCCAAAAACCAATAAAAACACCCCCAAAACATTAAAATAAACAAAAAAACAGAACTAGCTGTTACTGTAGCAATGGTCGGATGCTACAGTACTTCGGTCGACCGGTACGGTCGACCGGATTACTGTAGCAGTGCGCAGCTGTTTTGTAAAATCAATTTAAAATAGTAAATGAACTCCAAAAATTATGAAATTTTGTGAGAAAAACTTTGGGGAATGATTGTAGACATGATAATAAACATGCTACAATGACTGGTTATCAAAAAGGACTTCCCAAATGAAAAATATCATCATTTTACAAACTAGTCCAAAACATGAAAATATGAGATACTTGAATTTTGATGTTTTGACATAAACCAACTTTTGAAACTTTGTGAAATGTTTTTGTAGACTTAGTAAAACATGTATAAACTGATATTGAAGTCTATAAACTAAGAATACAATATTTTCACAAATACAATAGAAAATGAAACCTATGAGTATGTATATGAAAAT